TACTCAGTGATTACCGGGACCAGGCCACGGATATCTCACACTGAAGTATCTTCTAAGCGAGAAAAACAACTTCTAACTGGCCGCCTAAAACGAAAAATACAAACAAGTAACAGTAGATGAAGTATTTATCGCGAGCATAATAAGGTAAAGTATTGGTTATGCTCACTTCCGACACGGAGTGCAAGAAGTAGGAAAAGTACTTAGAACAAAGCGTGAAGAACCTATCCTCTTCAGCCGCCTCGGCCTCCTTATATAGTGTTCTTCCTGCCTAAAGTCATGTCACCTAAAGTGGTCACATGTGCGAAACCAAATCATAACAAACTAGGTGTAACGATCCCTCTTTGGATAGTTAGTGCTTGGCGGCGGGGAATGATACTTCTCTTCCTGTCTTCTTCTTTTCTTTGTCTTACGATAGCTCTAGGCCTCTGCCTACGTTACCGATAGTACAAGACCCTTGTCTTCTACCGGGACCGCCTATCGTAAGTTTTCTCTAACTCTCCTTCGTAAAGCGCCTTCCTTGGCGTAACGATAACGTTGCAATAAAGATAAAGATTGTAAAGGTTTTTTATATTTGTTAAAGTAATAAGTAGGAAAAGTACTTAGAACAAAGCGTGAAGAACCTATCTTCCTCGGCCGCATCGGCCTCCTTATATAGTGTTCTTTCCGCCTTTAGTCATGTGACCTAAAGTGGTCACATGTATGAAACTAAATCATAACAAACTAGTGATATGACCAAAGTGATCACATGCTCAAAACCCATGACCTCATAGCGAGGTCATGTGCGAAACTCATAAACCATATGCGCAAGGCTTGCCCGTAAGGCACACTCATAAGGCATACTCGTCAGGCGCATATCCCATGACTCATACTTGAGCCATGTGCGAAAGCATCACAAATCCCACACATAACTAATCATATAACCCCATTAGGTCATATGCGTGAAACAATAACATACCAGTGACTCATAACCATGTGTCATGTGAAAACCCTTTCCTCGCTAGGCCACGTTCGTGACACTAGGCATGTGACCAAAGTGATCACATGCTCAAATCCCATGACCTCATAGCGAGGTCATGTACAAAACTCATAAACCAATCATAACCCAATAAACAAATCATATGACTCGACTGAGTCATATGTGCGAAACCCATGACCTCATAACGAGGTCTTGTGCAAAATATAAATCATATGCACAAGGCTTACCTGCAAGGCATACTCGCGAGGCATATTTGCTAAACACACATCCCATGACTCATATTTGAGCCATGTGCGAAAGCATTACAAATCCCACACATAAGAGATCATATGACCCGAATGAGTCATATGTGTAAAACAATAACGTACCTGTGACTCATAACCATGTGTCACGTGAAAACCTTTTCCATGCCAAGCCACATTCGTGACACTAATACTCAAGCTCTATCTTCTCTACTTATGAGTTTTTCATCCTCAGTCCATTATCTCATAATATATCTAAAACAAGAACTAAATTGCCTCAATCCCTCCATTCATCTTCTTCTCAGGATCTCACTCCTACAACGCTACTCTCTCTTTCACTCTCCTTTCTATCAAATCCATTCTCTCCAGAATCATCAATGATCTTATCCTTATCTGGTATTTTTTTTCTTTTTCTTTCTATTTATTTATATTCTTTAATACTTATACTTTTATTCTTTTTTGAGAATTTTTAAATTAACTAGTACATCTGGTTTATTAAAATAGAATTATACTATTAGCCAAGCATTTCTTCCGTCAAAATAATGTTCCTTTTAATTTTTTTTTTAAAGAGGAGGGAGACTTATTTTGTGGGGAAAAAAAAACACCTAACCCTAAATCTTCTATCTTCCACTTGACCTCCTCAAACCTAACACCTCTGCTTCTATCTTTTCTGCTTCGTCAAATCCACTAACCACCATAGTTTCTTTCTTTTTAGGTCTCTATTACTTTGTATATTTTTTCGATTTTTTATATTTCAATTAATATTAAAAAAAATTTCTTTTCCTTTTTCTCCTAAATTGTTTATCTCTTCAACTTTTATTCCATTATTTTTCCTTTTTTTTTTTCTCTGACTTATATTATACTTTATTTTAATTTTTAATTGTAATTTTTATTTTAATTGTTTCTTACTCTTTGCATTATTTGATTATTTGTATTAGGTTTATACAATCGGTTCCAGTTTTTTTTTTTTTTTTTTTTTGACTTATGTTTGCTTTAATTATACAAGAGAGTTTATTGTTCTAATTGCTAACAGATTACAGAATACGTAGAAGACTCTGACAACTCCAGTTCAACTATCCAGACTCTATCATCAAGCCTACCAATTGAATCAGATGATTTACCTTGAGTTGACATTCCTGCTGGTGAAACTTCTACTATCTGCTATGAGATTTCTCCCTCATTCCTTTCCAAGATTTGAGCATTGAAGCAGTTTGCTAAGTCGACATACAGAAAGATTTCAACAGTTACTGAAGTGGTTCTTACCACTGTTTTTCTAATTTGGCGACCTCTAATTACCCATAAGCGATCATCCACTTGTGGCTGCAATCATCTTCTTGGCTTGAAAGAGAGAACAAAGCTAATCACTCTTGCCACCGCTTCCGCAGAGAATTGTCGAAAGCCCCTGACAGAAATTGCCTACATGGCGGGAATAAATGCCTCTGAAATGACCTTAAGGTACTCTTTGGCTTCAGAAGAATATCACAGATACATTGCTAGAGTTAAGCCTTATCTTAAGCCTTCTTATTTGAAAGTACTTATTTTTTTTTTTTTTTTTCTCTCTCTCTTGCTTTCTATTTTTTTGCTTGTCTTTCATTTTTGTTTAAGCTATTTCTTTTGTTTTTATTTTTTACTTGTATTTTCTATGATTGCTAATTATCTAATTTTAAATCAATTTAATTATATTTATATTTTAATTCAAGTTTATCTTATTATCTCCTACCTTATCTTATTGAAATACTTAATATTATTTATGTTAATTATTAACAAACTATTAATATGTAGGCTTAAAAGGATTAGGCTCTTCAGTTTATAAGCTAGAAGGTCGAGGATTGGAGGAAGGTAATATGGACTGATAAGAGTGTCTTCAATATTGGAGGCTCTCCTGGCCAGGTCTATATTACTCGAACTGCAGCAGAGGAGTTCAATCTGTCATGTCTACTGCCAAAGTTTAAAAAGCTGGAGACTATTCTTGTTTGTAAATGTTTTTACAGAATGCAGAAAGGGCTATTGATTTTTTGAAATAAAAGCTCAATGGGAAAAGCAATTAATACAAGGGGGTATTGTAAGTATCTCGTACCGCATCTGACTTGATTTTAGCATAATATCTCACAAGAAACTGAAGATTATATTTATATTGTACAGGATAGGGCTTGCCCCCATACACCTAACTATACAAAAGAGGTATATAGAAATGAGGGATTGACTAACTATATTTTTCCTTGGGCAGCATGCCCATCAGACCTCAATTTAATTGAAGGGGTCTGGTGACTTATTCAATTCCGTATTAATAGCCGTACCCCCCACCCTCAAACTAACAATTTAATGCTTGATGCCATCCAGCAGGAGTGGGATAACATTTCCTCTCAAGATTTGGAGAAGCTATTACTAAGTATGCTTGAGTATGTTCAGGCAGTACTTGCTGCTGATGGAGGACATACTACGTTCTAAGTTCTTGTTTTTGTTTTTATTGTTATTATTATTATTATTATTATTGTTACGAGTATTATTGAAATATTTTCATTTTGATTTCTTGTATTTTACTGACTTGGATTATTAAAATTGGCAATAGCTTTTATTCTCAATTTGCTTATATCTTAGTTTTTCTTATATGCTTTGTTTAAGTTTACCATACTTCAAATTATTATTATTATTATTATTATTATTAGTCTCCTTCTTTCATTTATATCTTATCCTCAGTCCAATGATAGGTATTATTTCTTTCTCTTTTTTTATTTATTCAAGTTTCTCCAATACTTCGTTTAAGTACTCTAAGTATTTATTTCTACTCTCCAATGTCACTCTGTTCCATTGCTTGTAAGACACGCACCCCGGCTCTGTACCCTGAATTTATGCCTGTCCCTTGTACCAACAACAAAGTGCGACCCAATCGGGCCAGATGAGTAGAGGCGATCCATTACTCGATATTTGTGGGGGAATGGCGGGAAAAAAAAGGAAATAAACAAGGTGGCTCCCGGTTCCCCTTGATGGGGTAGTTTTGGTTTCCAACGGCGCCCTTATTGGAATATTGCCAAGGGATGATGTGAATCATGCTTCATGATACCGTAATTTAGAGTACGAGTACAGTCCTTGTTCCCGCCGTATTAATACATGAGCAATGCATTCTCTACCCGAGAACAGACTGATTCCCCTCAATAGTTTCTTAAGCCAGAGGGTGTTTTGATACATGTCCCCCTACCCAGGAAGTTTGGTTGGGGTTGAGATGTTGCCGGTATCCGCCTTAACTCAATCCAATTGGCAGGGAATCCGGAAGGCCAACAGACTTCCCGGTGATCGGCGGGAAGTCGTTTTGCTATAATCGACTCTACAAACGCCAAGAGCCAATACTTTCATCCCCCCCAAATATCTGGGAACTTTTTCGGGGTGTACGAGTACCAAAGTTTGAGTTGACAACCTCCCAGACTCAGAGTGTGCGGTATTCATGTCCAGAGAGCAGGAGTGGGGCATCGGCGATCGGGGGGAATAGCAGCAGGAAGGAGCTGGGGTTTCACCACCGAGTCTTCCCACCATGCCTCAAACGAGGCTCCCACGGATAGTCACCCAAGCCTGGTCCCATCCACATGTGTACGAGCATGGTAGTTGGCCTTGTCCTAGACCTCCCAACTCTGATCTGACGTGGGCATTTACTGGTAGTTCCATAGGTTGGCCCGGCGCTGTACTACTACCGTACTGTACAGTACTCGTACTCGTACACTCCAAACGCCAGAGAATCGCATTAAAAAAACAAACACAAAAACCTCATTACCGTTCTCAGGTTCTTAGATATGTTTCACCTTCGATATGCTATCGCTACATTCACCGTCATCCTCTACATACTATGTACTGCGAGAGCACAAACCCGAGGTGATAAATACCTCATTGGGGTCGGTAAGGCTGATGTCACTGGTCCCGTGGTAGAGATTGGAATGATGGGATATGCCTCATTAGACCAGAAAGGAACAGGACTTCGGCAGAGACTTTTCTCGAGAGCATTTATCGTCGGAGACGTCAACCACCCAAATGATAGTTTCGTCTACGTTATCGCAGACCTTCAAAGTGGCGATACGGCAATTAGAAATGGGGTGATGGAAAAGCTTCAAGCCCTATATGGTGGTCTCTATACACGGTCAAACGTTGCTATCGTGGGAACCCACAGCCACTCTGGTCCAGGTTGGTCCTATCTGTTCACCCTATAATTAATTAGTGTCTACACTTAAGGCCCTGGGTTGACATTCCTGTGACTGGTTAGGTGCCTGGCTTAATTACCTTCTACCACAAGTAACGACCCTCGGGTTTGACTCGCAGTCTTACACTGCTATCGTTGAAGGGATTGTTAGCTCCATACAACGTGCCCATGAATCACTAACGCCGGGCTACCTTTCTCTCAGCAAAGGCCTTATCCAGGATGCAAATATCAACCGTAGCCCTTACGCTTATGAGGCCAACCCACAGCGTGAGAGAGCTAGCTACGAAGGCATCGGAGGACAGGTGGATAAAGAAATGACAGTTCTTTCATTTGAGGACGAAAGCGGCATGCCAATGGGGCTAGTGGCCATTTTTGTTTTCCCTAGCTTTCGCAAACTGTGATCGCTAATGTGCATCTTCAGGCTTCTAAATTGGTTTCCTGTCCACGGAACTTCTCTATACAATAATAATACACTCATTTCTGGAGACAACAAAGGCCTTGCTGCCCTAATGCTCGAGAAGGATATCGGTGGATCATTCGTTGCCGGGTTTTCCCAATCAAACGTTGGTGATACATCGCCCAACACCGAGGGACCCATATGCCAGGATACGGGACTTCCTTGTAAATACGAGGATTCGACCTGTGGGGGCAAGACTCAACAATGTATGGGCAGAGGCCCCGCCTTCCGAATCTCGGACACCGAATCCTGTCGTATAATTGGCGAGAAGCAGTACCTGGGCGCAAAGGCAATTTACCATGGTACAGGTAAAGCACCAGTGGCGGGAGATGGTGGTGCTGTGAGAAGCTTTCATACTTTTGTCGACTTTTCAAACTACACTTTTCAACTATCAAACAGCACAACTAAGAGAACCTGTAAGGCAGCTCTGGGATTCAGTTTTGCTGCCGGAACAACCGATGGGCCGGGAGCCTTTGACTTTACTCAAAACGACCCGAATGCGCCAAGTAATCCATTCTGGTTATTAGTCAGAAATTTTTTAAGGAAGCCAAGCAAGGACCAAGTCGAGTGTCATCAACCCAAACCTATACTCTTGGACGTTGGGGAGATGGACAAACCTTACCCATGGTATATAACTCGTAACTCCCAAGAGAATTCCGTCCACTAGTGGCGGGAGGGTAGGGCTAATGCGCGTGTGCGTAGGGCTCCTAACATCGTCGATGTGCAAATGTTCCGCGTTGGGCAGCTCGCCATTATCATTTCGCCTGGTGAAGCAACGACCATGTCCGGACGTCGATGGAAGAAGGCCGTGGCAGAGGAATTGAACAACACGGGAATTATTAGCAGTGGTGATAGCTGGATAGTCCTTGGCGGGCCAGCAAACAGTTATACACATTATATTGCGACTCCCGAAGAATACGCCATCCAAAGATATGAAGGGGCTAGTACCCTTTACGGACAGTTCACGTAGGTGCTCTTATCCCGTCGTGGTTGTCTTGGGATTACTGACTATTTTGTGCTATCTAGGCTGGGTGCATATATTTCGCTTTATAAGAAATATATCCCTTATCTCGGCGCAACCCCACCATCCACCCCCGTACCCCCGGGGCCCTCACCACCGATAAACACCAACACCTCAATCTCGCTTATCAAAGGGGTTGTCCACGATAACCCGCGCCTTGGGAAAAATTTTGGTGATGTTCTTACGGATGTTGCCTCAACTCCGTATTCGAGTGGGAGTCTGGTAAAGGTAGTTTTTGTGGGAGCGAATCCCCGAAACAACCTTAGGCTCGGTGGTACATACGCGGCAGTTGAAAGGAACAATGGCGGTACGTGGAGCAGAGTCAGGGACGATACCGACTGGGATTTGGTTTACCAGTGGGAGAGGACAGAAGGATTCAGTGGCCAGAGCGAGGTCACAATTAGTTGGACTATTGAGCGGGGAACCCCAGCTGGGCGGTACAGGATCAAGTATTATGGAGATTCAAAGCGTCCCTTTACCGGGAAGATTACTGCATTTGAGGGAACCTCTAGAACCTTCAACATAGGCCCCAGGCGAACAACGGTATGCCTATCGTACCTTATCATACGGAGATACCTGTATAGTATAGCATTGCCTAAAGAGTGTGCGTTAATGGCGCCCTACTATCAACGCTAGCTTTGGGTATTGTTTTAGCTTTATTCGAGTTCCTGGCGTTTTTTTCCTATATAATTTGGCCTATTCAAAAGGGGACTTAGATCCCCATTGTACTGGTGCTACGTTGAGCGCGCACCGCACCTGTACTCGTACATTGTGACTATCAGGTTCCGCGGTGTATAAAGGGCAGTATGCAGCTTAAAGAAGTCGTTCGCATTTCAACTATCATACCACTGGGTTCGTGCGCTTGTGCCGGTACAAGTATGCCACATCTCAATATCAATCTAGCCCAGGATGCCGTATTCATGTGCCGCAACAGATTGCCATTGGATTTACACCGAAAACCACCGGGCATGAACGCTGATCGGAAGGCAAATCCTGGTGTTCGAGATCGGGGTTCCACCCCCCCAAACTTTTTGTCAGGTAACCCAGTTATTGCCGGGGGGTTTTTTTTTTTTGATGAATCAAGAACACGGTATGCAACATCCACCACCACGTTTAGTGACCTGGGTTGCAGGTTGTGGATGTCAGATAACGGTGCTTTGCGGATCCGAGGGCTGAATGGGGAATTGCTTTTTTTCTGGACGCCGGGCTCTAGCCTCTTTGTCGTATCATCCCATGGTTGTGTCGTGATAACGCCAAGAAAAACAAGGGCCATGGACACGGACACCGCGAATGCAAAATATGTGCGAAAGAAAGAACCCCCATTGAACGAAAAAAAAGAAAGAAAAAAGATAGAGGACTTCCCTCGAAAACACGGTCAACTTAGCGACTATATCAGTGCAAACCATCGACAAGGTGACAACTAGAGCCGATTCTTCGCAGGGGGCGAGTATGTACGAGTACTGTACAGCGCTGTACTTTTTGACTGATTTATTAGTACTGTTACGTATTATGAAAAGTAAGTGATCGGAGGCTAAGAAAACTATCTTTTCCTCATACTGTACCGCAGAGCACAATACTTGGTGTCGTATGGTACGATAGAGCAACCGGAGGCCAGCAACCAGCAACGACGCGAATGGGGGGGGCGAAAGGGATGGACAGGGGAACGACGGACTTTGTAGACAATTTTGATAAAGGCTACAGACTAAAGTTAGGCACTGTACTCGTACTCGAGTACCGGCACCACAACCAATACCAGTGCAGTGATCTTAAGGCAGAGAAGATCGTAATTGTTATGGTCGTGCGGTACTCGAGCAGAGAGGGTTGGAAGTCTAAAAGTAGATGATAACGCAGAGCTTCTGCTTCCCTCTCTCGTATTTTTTCCTTTTTATCTTCCTTTTCCTACAGTGGCTTTTCTTTTATGCCCCGCTACTGTACTCGAGTACTGTACTCGAGTATGCCATGCCCTGCGATGATGTGGATCAATCAGTCTCCAATTCTGCGATAGCACCATTCCAAGTGGTGGTGGTGAGGATAGAGTGACCCGTTCATTTGTGACATGAGAAGGATAAGAGTTATGATAAATGACGTTTTTTGCATGGTAGGAATGGGTATGGGTCAAGGAATGGACTGGTTGGCGTTTCCATACCAGGAAATGGGCGTGGCTATAGGAGGAAGAGGCGGGCGACCTAATCAACGCCGCCTTGTTCTTGGGCTCGGGCCTTCGCTTGCCTACTACTGTGATTCACCAAGCTCTGCCCTTAAGAGAGTGTGCGGGAGAAGAAAATTGAAAAGAAGAAAAGTAATAATTCGGTGCCCATCTGGCTCTCTGCCAGTTCTTCTTCTCCTACTCCGCTGCACATCTCCTACGTCCTGCACCATCCAAACTTCTCTTTGGTTGAAAAGTCCTTGCTCTGGTCTCTTCCCCGTTCCAACTGCAGCTCCTGTTGGCTCGCCAGTCGTCGAACTCTGTGACCGTTATTCACTAGGTCTTATCGTCCACGCTTCTCGCCCAGGAATCTGCTCCCGAAAGCCCGCTCTACTTTTTTGTAAAGTCCTGCTGCTGCACCCCATCTGTTTTTCCCAATTCGACTCTTTTGCGGCTTTTCTTTTCTTTCTTTTTTTTCTTAGGGAAGAAATCAACGCGCACCGCGGGAAGAGACTGGGACCGGGTTGCAATTGAAATTCGATAGGTATATTTGATTCCTAGGTACTGTCGTCGCCTATCCCCTCCTCCCCTCATCCCAAATCGATTCCTCCCTTTTATTCTTTTATTCCATCTATCCCTTCTCTTCCGCCCCTTTCTATTCTTTAGGCAATTCTCTCCTCCGCACCTTTTATAGGAGAGAGTGAGGAAGAGACCCCCGAGAACCTATCGGAAGTCGGATTGCTATTGCCTTTTCCGCAGAATCCCTTCCCCCACCCCCCTTGAGCATAGGATACCTTTACCATTGATGGTGGAAAGCTGAACGAATTATTAACGACAGATCAAGGACTTACGATAAGTTTCACGAAAAAAAAACCCCTTCAAATCTTGGTATACCACCGAAAGGAACCGGAAAAAATGGCGGGGAGTTTCACGTTCAAATGGTTTGTTTCACTTTCTTTCCGTTTCCACCCCAATAACCCCCGGCACATCATCGTTTTGCCCAGCGAGCCTTGTCCCAGCTTCCTGCTGCTCCAAAGGAAAACATTGGCGAGATGGAGTTTGAGGCAGCAATAACATATTTTCTGTGGCCAGCCACTCTTGTGCTCGCAGTAATTCGGTTTGATTATGTGCTTGCGATGCTTGCACTGCATGGTAGGATCAGAGAGGCTAATTGGGTACTTTTGTGTTTGATAAAAACAGGGCCCAACCGGCTGGAGAAGTTTACGTCACTGGGTCGTTCGATGACTGGGGCAAGTCTACAAAGCTCACTAAAGAAGGAGATGCCTTCGTTGCTACAGTCTCTCTGCCATCCGAAAAGATTCTTTACAAGGTACGTTGTTAATGGTCTTACCACCCGTTCCTCTCAAGCCCGGTTTTTGTCGAGTGGCATAGAGTTCGGATTGTTCACTGGTGTGCTTGTATGGGAATGCCGACTAGCTAGTGCTATTGTGCTTGGGAGAAGGAACTTGACCAATTCCCCCTGGAATTCAGTCTTGTCGACTTGTGCGAGACAGCAGATTGTGTTGTGCATTTCTACTCGAGATACAAACAATATTTCCCCCCCTCCTCGGGCAGCCCTATAAATAGAACCTTGCTTATCGCTCTGCATGAGTCTTTATCAATTGCACCTCCGCACACCATTTGCTAACGGGAATTATCTTTCTACGAATAGTACGTCGTAGACGGAAACTGGACAGTCGATATCACTGCACGCAGGGAAGCCGGCGACGACGGAATTGAAAACAACGTCTTGCTACCCGAAGATCTTGTCAAAGAGAAAACCGGACCAGATATGTCCTCAGCCGTTATTTCCTCGGCTGCCCCCGATTCTACTACTGCCGTACTTGCGGCCCAGGTCCCTAAGGAGACCAACGGCGACGTTCAGGATGCGGCTATTTCCTCCGCCGCACCCGACTCTACTACTGCCGCCTTGGCCGCTGGAGTCTCTAAGGAGGCTAGAACACCAAGCCTCAAGAATGTTCCTGGTGGATTCCCACAGACTCCGGCTATCGAAACATCCGACCCTACCTATATGGTCTCTCCTCAGGAGGATGCCAAAAAGGTCACGCCTAGCGAGCCCGCTCCTAAGCATGACGATAATTCCGAAGACGTCGGTGGTGGTGTCAAGCTCGATACCAGGCAGGAGAAGGCCGATACTTCTCCCGAGGCTCCCGCGGTCCCTGAGGTGGCTGAACAGAAGATAGAGGTCGAGGAGGAGTTGAAGGAAGGACTTTCTGTTGTTCAGCCTACCACCGAAGGAAATACTATTATCGACCAAGCGCAAGCCGATATTGCTGCTGCTGCCAGACTTAGCGGTGCCTCTGGCGAGGGGAATGAAGAGACCACACCAGCTATTACCCCTGAAGTTGCCAAACAGGCCCAAGATGCCACCTATGTTTCCCCCGAGGCTACTACGGCCGAGTCTACTGCTGAAGCGAAGAGGGAGCTTGGAGAGAGCACTACCGCCTCGGCCGTTTCCCCGGCTAGTGACGCCCCCGAAGCTAAGAAGGCCGTGGAGAACCAATTGAGGGATGAAGTCAAACCAGTCACCCCCGCCCAATTGAACAACACTGCGGGCGATGCTTCTACCTCCCCCGCCCCAATCCCGAAGCTTGAAGTCACAGACCCTCAAGAGGCTACTACCCCATTGTCTCCAACGACCCCGGTTGAGCCCGCTAAGAACGGACCCCCAGGAAAGAGCGTCGAGAACGGAAATGGAGAACCTCCTTCCAGCCCCACTCAACTTACGAGGAAGAAGAACCGACTTAGCTTCTTCGGAAGCCTGAAGGAAAAGTTGCATTTTGGCAAGGATAAGGGGAAGAGTAAAGGTGAGATGAGTCCGTAAAGGGGGAGTAAGTGGAGGAAGTTGCGCTGTCGTTAATGAGAATCGCGACAAGGGGTGGTACCGGTAATGATACGAAAAGTTCATGTTCTTTTATTTTTAATTGTCTTCCTTTTGATTCGACAAACCGTAATACATACTCAGCGGACGATGGGTCGGGAGGGGAAGCTAGGGATGCGGGCCTTGTGGAATTCTGTGTCAGTGATTGCTCTTTTCCAATCGTGCATGGGGACGGTTTCTGGGTTTGGTTCGAGGGTTTGGGGTACTATTGTGCCCGCGGTGCGGTCCCCTTTGAGGTTTTTTCATTTGTCTTCTTCTTGAGCTCTAATTTGGCTATTGTCTTATGGCACTGCTGTGGAGCTTGGTTTGCGAAGGGATGAATACACTCTTTCCCTTTTTCCTTCTTTTCCTTTTTTGCTTGTACTGCTACGCTTCTCTCTATCGCCTTATTTCAATTTTCTTTTCCCCGGTTCATGGAGAGGTTTTCTTTGTCGCTTGTAGGTGGTAATACGGAACAAAAGATACAAGGGGATTATCGGCTGAGGGATACAATGTTAGAGGGGGCAAGGGAGACCGGCTTCATTCAAACTTTTTCCACGTGCTGTGACCCACCAAAAATTCGCTTGAATTGATATGGATTTAAAATTTTTTTTACCTTATGATTCATGCTGCATGACAAGGGTTGTGACAGAATGGTGAACAGAATGACATGTAACAATCCAAACCATGCTACTTTACACTTTCAGAGCAATACATTTTGGAGCCGTAAAAAAATCAAAAGATTTGAAAGAATTGTTGGCTACTTTGGCATGCGATACCGGTGTTTTAGGGTTGAAGTTGGAAACAGCGCCAAGCCTTGCCATTTCACATGCAAAATCCTCAGAAATTGCAGCAAAACCAAGATGATAATATTATCATACTAGCTATAGCTCCCTCGATAGTTCCTGGGCTATCGTAGTTTGTTGAGTGTGATATCGTACCATGCATACGGAATTCTCAAGGGTTGGAAAGTAAAATACGGGGAGTTTAGCCTAAGGTCTTCAAAAATTTGGATGGGGTTTTGGGTGAGTTCAGAATGGGTTAGTTTCCACTCAACCATGGACCGCCTCACCTGTCAAGAAGCTTTGAGTACCGGTATCCGAAAAAGAACTTTGTAGACTACTGTACGAGTACGCACAGAAGGTCATGGATATGACTGTTTTCCAAGTGGACGGCTCTTACCGGTACACTGCTCGCCTCTTTTTTTTTTTTTTTTTTGGCCTCGGCTTCATACAGTAGTCTGCAAATGTCATCCGGCAGGCGATATCATGGTATCATACTGCATTCGGGTATCCAACCTGAGATCTCTCTATCTAGAACCCTTGAAAATATCATAATTAGGGCATTTTTTCAATGTGCAAGAAGTCTATACCTGGCTGTTCGGGGGGGGGGGGAATTATCATGATTCAAGAAATCAAAAAAATCAATTACCGTTTGAACTTGAATAAAACGACCACGTGCTAGGACGTTGGAGTTGCCTCTAACGTCCTAGTAAGATCTTGCTGGCGTCCTGTCCTCTCATATCTGTCTCGGGAAGCACCTGTTTCGGAGGAGGAAATTTTAGACCATGATACCGGTATGATAACTCTTCTCGAGAGTCTAATTCTTGCCAAAGTTCGAACCCCCCCCTTTAAACCTAAAGAGTCTCAAATGAAAGTATCATAGGAGGCCTGAAAATTTGAGCCATGGACCGGGCAACGTTGAATGGAATGTTTTATTTATTTATTTACCCGCGACAGAAATGGCATAAATGTGGGGTAAAAGTTCAATATATGATAGTATTATGCCATGCTAGAGAGGGAGTTGAGGAGGTTTCGGAATGGTGTGTGTAGAGTGCTTAAAGCGGCTATTATAATATTATTATTATTTTTATAATAATAATATTATTGTTAAGGTTATCACCGGCGGGGTACCGGTAGGTTACTTACTGTGCTGTGAAAATAGCTTTTTTAAGTTTTTAAGGTGATATGCAGGTACACACTTGATTTAAATAAATCTAGCATTTTTTATGAGCAAGTCGAAGGAAAAAAATTCGATAACATGTCGGGAAAGTGCGATGTCGGTGCCAAAATGCTAGCTGATATCATGATCTTTTGAGCCAGCAGTGTATCATAGCGACAGCTCGATTGTCGATGACTTTTTTCTTGTCGACCAGACGAGACACCTTTCCATTTCCGGGCGCTTTTGCTCCGAACTCTGCGACAAGGGTGGCGATGGGGTCGCCTTGCAGCGAGCGAGGCGCAACCCCCTCCCGTTATGCGGACCCCCTCTCGTTATGATACTTATTATTATACTTTTATGGTACTACGAAATCCGCAAGATCTCACGGTGGCACTCGAGTACCGGTATAATATCGCACCGTGTGGCTATCTGACATAAGTTTACCCTGTCATAGGGCACTACGGTGAACCACTCATAGGGCTGAGGAATGTCTGATATAAGCCGTTTCTTTCCCCCATGCGGTATAGGTCACAGACGCAATACAACACAGGTGCATCACGTAGCGAGCTGGGCATCGCAGTTTATTACCCATCGTCAGTCAAGATGCCCAGTGCGGAGTAGGGGAGGGATGAGGGATTGAAAAAGAAAAAAGTGGAGGGAGGGGGGAAAGAAGGTAAGGTCCTAGATACCGGTACTATATGGCACTGTGCGAGTACTCGAGTACTGAAATGTGTTATGCTTTAGTGACAAGGCGGAGATTTATTCCCAGTATCATAGTCGGCGGGTATTATTTGCCCTAGCGCCTCCAATCTAGTATACGGCTAGGTAGCAGTTGTGTAGTGGACTGTACTCGCACTTGTACCATCTCACCGTTCTACTGCATCTGTCTGCCTGCCTGTCTGTCTGTCGGGAAAACTTTGGCATTTCTGGTCATCCCTTTGTTTAGAAGCACAGACAGCCCCCCAGTTTAAGGAATTAGGACACCCCCCTCACCCTGACGTTTAAACCCAAACAAGAATCCTTCCGGTGGCTTCCTTAGGACTGCGGAAGCTGTGCTGTTCACCGCTCGTTTCCCCATGCAAAACCCACCGGTGAGTATCGGTCCGGGTGGAGGGATGTTGCCTGTGCTAGAATTCCAATTGTTTGCGGCTATGCTCGAAATAGTGCTGGAGCGTGGAGTGGGTGCTACTATAGACGAGTTAGCCGCTTCGCGCGGTGACCGAAGTTGTGGGTATGGAAAAGGTAAGAGGTAGACGGGTGAATGGGTGAGAAGTGAGTATGAGAGGGGTAAAATAGTACCCACATATCACGAAGCGTTGGTATCATATCACGATTGCCGTAAGGGGAAAAAAAAGAGGGAGACGAGAGACATACTTCGGTGGGTTCCGTGCTAATTCGGCAGCTATTGGCGGAGCAGGTAGGGCTGGGTTAGTCGATCAAAAACGAGGGCTGAAAGGGGCGTTATGACTATGGATTGATGGTTGCTATTTGGAGGAAGGGGGAGTTGTGAGAGGAACGCCCGAGGGTGTGGAGTTGCTGCGGCTGTGGGAACGAAGCTTAGGGGAGGTATGGGCTCGATGAGTGGGTGAGTGGGAAGGGGGGACGAGGAGTACGATATATATCCCCCAATTGATGCTACTGATGATGAAAAGCTATCTTATCCAACAATTCTGTGTTTCCTCTCGCCATCATTACTAGGCTTCCTCGAATTAGTCGAGCTATCTGCTATCGTTAACACTTGCCTGAGGTAAATTTCCTATATACCTTCTTTTTTCTCTCCCCTCCTCGGTCCCAATTATCACTCGCCCGTAATGTCCTCCGCCAATGCCACTCCCACATCTACTCTCAACAGTAACCCAAAACTCACCACCCGTCGTTGGCCAACACTCTCCCGTCTCCTCCCGAACAAAAAGCAGAAGCACCCAAAACTCCTACACATAACTCTCCTCCACCGCCGAGCGCAATCCTTGACGCCCAACGACCCCAATAAGATCTACCAGTCTCTGCAATCTAATGACTCAATACTGAAGCTCCAGGGCACTCCCATCAAGTCCCCAAAGCTAGCAACTTTAAGCCCCACCGGTGAACTGGTCGAGTGTGAAGGACCATCTTCGAAAGATGAACCGCCACCAGGGTTCGTTCTCGGCGGTGACATTAAGCTTTTTGGCACTCGGCTTGCAGGGAGATTATACACACTCGTTGGAGAGGCAGGGAAGGCGAGTGACGTCAAAGAGATCGTTACATTGGGAGAGAGGTTACTGTTGAAAGATGTGCTGAAGTGTCTTCACGGGAGCGCGTTTGGCGATATTGGCTTGGTGCGGCCTGGGTTCACATTCCGTGCTGGGGACTCTGCCCTGGGGACCCTCCCGGGATTGCATTTTGACACAGAGGTGGTCTTCCATAACGACTCTGGACTCAGGTCCGCTCGGGAGACCTTGAGTGGGGTATTTGGGGTTAAGGATGGATCGCTCAAGGTATCGGGATATTTTGGTGAGAAGCGTGAATGGAGTAAGGCGCTGAAGCCGGAGAAGTTCTCACTCAAGGGGACCTTCGTCGGCGTTGACTCCGAGCTAGGCAAGCTCGTGCGTGTAACGGGTGTTGGTGTGGAGTTGGAGGGCGTTAGGAGGGAAGGAAGCTTTATGAGGAGAGCAAAGTATGAATGTACTGTTGAGTTTTACGGAGCTGCCGAGGTGGAGATTCCAGGGTCCGTAGTTCCTTTGGTGGTCGAGTATAGGCTTAGGGAGGTGCAAGGGATGTATGAGTTTAAATTGACGAAGGGAAAGAATGAGTGGGTTAATTTTGCAGGGTTTAAGGGATTGAAGGTTTGTTTTCATAATATTATTGTCTCGTGGATACGAGGGATGTGCTGATGTGATACTGGAGTAGCTCTCCGATATCCAACTACTAGCCGAGTTCCCGAAAAAGCCGTCAAAAGAAGATATTGAATTCCAACTCTTGGCACAATTACAATTCGCCGGAGCTGCCCTCGCTCTGAAAGGTGTTTACTCACCAGGTATCACTCATCCACATTCCCATCACCCAACCTGACACTGACAATCTCTAGACTCATTCTACATCCAAGCTTCGGTCCCCACCTGCACACTCGACGATCTGCACACCCTCTACACTTCAATAACTGGCCGTAGATTGGCAGAGTTCTCCCACACAGCCACCTTCAAGGACCTCCTCTTTCGCATTGACGTATCAGGCCTCACTCTCTCTGGCGACGTCACGATCGACGAGCACCGCGCTGTGAAAGCTGTTGTGGCGATCCACCGCGACGGCATTGCCATCACGGGCAGCCTGAAGGACATCGCGCTGGGCGATGTCACAATCACCAAAGCGCAACTCGATGTATTCATCGGGAGAACTAACCCCGGGACCTCATCTCGGGAGAGCGGGTTTTCGATCACAGGAACTGTGCACTTTCATGGCATGGACATTTCCGTCTCAGTGCACACGCTATTCGAAGGTGGACAGGTGAGTTGGGTGGTGTATGGAGAATTGGATGCGGACCTGAGATTGGACCGTCTAGCACCGAAGGTGAAGGGGTCATTTTTGGACTTGAGTTTGAGAAAAGTGGCGTTTATCGCTTCTAATGTGGATAGTCCTGCGGGAGCG